TCCGTGGTAAAACTGTATGCATTAGCGTGCACAATACTAAGTACGTAAGTAAGCGGTTTATTGCAAACCACATCAATCAACTGTTGAACAAACATCAAAGGAAATATAGAAAAATAGACATTTGCACGTGGTAAATTGAATCTTCAAGAACTTCATCAAAGTTTTTTTTAGCATTCGGGAGGTACGGTTCACGCATAATTAATGACATTACTGAACAGCAAACAATCAAAAATTCAGATAACGTGCCAAAACAAACAGACCTTCAGGGGAGTCGTTAAATAACACAATTTTGCAATTATCAGTCAGCTCAATAGGTAGTACTTGAAAATCTCTCTTAATACTACATGCTGTACTGCGGGTACTTCCTTTTAGTTAACTATTGCCAACTTTCACAAAATCAACAACAGATATACATGTCATTATGCCCCTTGGGCCTTGCCTGGGGTCTTTTCGGTCAATCGCCAAGTTCTCACCTGGGACCGGTCGACGCCCTAGGCATCCTGCACTACAGCTTTTTACACCACTCAGCCCCGCTGGAGAAAAACCATCGAGGGGACATTGGTGGATGATGTCCTGTCCGCTCCTGTCCTGCAGGTGGTGTTTCACTATCGCACAGCCCTCTCCTCCGATGGGACGGTGCTGGATGACTCTCGGTCCATGGGGGGGCGCTGCAAGCCCATGGAGCTCATCCTGGGCAAGAAGTTCAAGCTGGCTGTGTGGGAGACGATCATCAGCACGATGAGGGAGGGCGAGATCGCCGAGTTCGCCTGTGACACCAAGGTACCGGCGGTGTGATGAATCGCGGCTGAGCCCCCGTGACCGTCGGCAGAACCAGCAGAGCCCGAAGCTGCTGCGTGTCCCCAGATCACCTCGCGCTCGAGGGTTACCCCTGAGCCCCTGTTCACGCCAGCGGCCAGTGCCTCTGGCTCTCTGAGGTCAGGAGGAATTACCCGGTTTCCCCGCACGTTTATTGGTCCGGGTCTCTGACGCTGTTTTTCATTGGTTTATGTTCCTGTCCGTTTTGGCCTCTCCTGGGTTTGGTACTAACCAAAGCAAAACACTTGGAAAAAAAACGTATTTTTTTTAGCATAACTTAAGTTATTAATCATTCATCCACCAAAAAAATAAATAAATAAAAGCATCGATGTTGTTCCAGTGATTAAGTCACTTATTTTACAACAAGGCTTGTCTGGGCTTTTAGCAAAGCGGTTTTCAGTACCAAAAGTATCAGTTTTACACTGTGCGATTACCTGGGGGAGGTGTTAAAACAATATACTGGGCCGGATTTTTTGTTGTACCGGATTTAACGTATTACAATTCATGAGCTATTATTGGTCCTATCCCACGGGAACCCAGTTTACCTGCACTGCTGACCTGGAGTAATTGACTTCTCCCAGTGAAGTGACACACAGCAGCCCCACTGCACAGATCAGGGCAGCAGAGAGGAACTGCTGCACCAGGGGGGTTGTGGG